ACTCGAGCAAAAGTTTCTGCTACTCCAAAAATTAGCATGCTTGTAGCAGATTATATGAAAATTTTTTGGAATTATACCATAGCAATTTTTGTATAATAAAAATGTGATTAAAAAATATGTTTATGATATAAAGAAAATAAATATTTGCAAGAAATTGTCCAAACACCCTTTGCCACTTTGCTGCTCAAACTCAAAGCCTTTTTTTTTTGTGTGTCTCTCATGGTTTTTGCTCTTCCGAATCAAGATCATCCTTCCATGGAGGGCAACTCAATTTAACCTTTTACGTCAAATAATCCCTTTTTCACTCTAATATCATTGTGCTTTACTGTTTTTTTAAATTCTAAACTAGTCCCAAGAAGGTTTCTATTTAGGTTTAATGCATCTTAAAATTGCCAAGAATAACCACAAATTAGAGGTGTCAGCTACTTCCATGCTTAAACAACGATCACCAAAATTTGGAAAAATCTAACTCATTGTACATAAAACAAATTTTAATCTTTAATGGACCACGAATCCTAAAAAGGGGAAAAAAAAAGAAGGAAACACCCAATTTCTCTAAATACTTGCTCAAGAAAATAAAACTCAATAATCAAGAATTATTAACTAAGTTTTTTCTTTTTAAAATTTATCCTTCCATATCTCGGATTACGCATACTGAGATGCTCCTTGATATTGTGGGTCTGAGAATCTAATTCAATTTTTGTGTAAAAGCAATATTAAATGTTAGTAATAGAGAGCCACTACCATCACCGAGCTTCGACAAAGGGCGCCACTAAACAAGCTTTCTTTGTTGTATGCCCATTTGAATTGCCATTTTTAAAAATATTTGTAAAAAATTATATTGTAACAATTTGACTTATATGAGTTAGGCCTCATTTCGGATTGCGGTGCTTTTGATAAAAAAAATACTTTTAGGTGTTAAAAGTACTTTTAAAACGTTTGGTGAATATCATTTCATAAAATTAGGAGTGGTATTTTTGGTGTTTGGAACACTTTTAACAAAAGTTCAAATTTGGTGCTTTTAAAGTAGATTTTGCAATTCAAAAAAATAAAATATTAAATTTAATCATTTTATCCTATATTATAAATTAAATAAAGATATAAATGCATGTAAAAATTTTCAAATCACACGTTATCCAACACAATAAATATTTATTAAACTACATCTCCAAACAGTATACTTAAAAGTACTTAAATATTTAATAAGCTCTTTTATTAAAATTCTATTAGAGAAATATTTTTCAATAAACTACCGCACCTCCAAACGGGATTTTAATTGAAAAATGTGTCGATGCAGAAACAATCACAATCCAAACGAGGCTACGTCACAAACTCAAATAATTTCATCTGGACAAGAAACTAAGGGGAGATGCCTTCGCCGTAATTTTTGGCATGCCGTTATATATGGACAAAGAAAAGATGATGAAGAAGAGGCTTGCAGGTGTGAGTACAGAAGTGAAGTGGAGTTTAGTTTCGTCCATCAATTTATAATACAGTACTTAAGCAGTGCCAGAAGCATTTTTTGAGAAAGAGGCCTTGTTTGGCTGGCAAGTTTTTTTTCTAAGTTTATCTGTTACAAGTTTTTTAAAAACTTTAGCTACAAAAACCTCAAAAAACCTCTCAAAGTTTTTAAACTATACACCTCAAAATATTAAAAAATTTACACATTTCAAAAATTTTTTAAAAAATTTCTACAGTAAACTACAGTAAAGTTTTAGACAAACACCTAAAAGACTCACTTACCAAATGTGCAAAAAAAAAAAAAAATATTGTACATATTATCCCATTCTTTTAACATGGATGTGAACAAAATTGTTTGACAAAATTTTAGTCCAAACGATAAATAATGTAGATTCTAGTTAAATTTGTACCCAAGGCTTGAGAAGTCAATTAAAGCCCCAAGTGCCATGTCTTAGTGGTCAGAGTGAGGGTTCTTAAAGTCTTGTGTATTAGTTCTAATATTTGAATCCTACGTTTGATAATTGAGGTGGGACGACGAACATAAGGAGTGAGGGTTAAACTAAAAAAATATAAAGGAAAACGGCTGGGCAGGGATCCTACTAGATGTTTAGAAAATGCATCTGGTCATGGTTTTGTTCTTCTCGGGGTCCAAAAAAATCACATCATCTAGATGATCAGTGCCAAGATTGCAGCCGGGATTTTATCATCTTTGACCGCAAAGCCGAATCCAAGAAAGAATCGACAACAGGAGAGATAATAATGCAGATATTGCATTACCTAGCTAGGATATGTCCGTACATCATTGTGAAATATTTTAGCCCCTATGGATTGCTATGTTTTGTAGAAAAAATATAACGCAGCGATTTGATGTATGTAAGGTAAAAAGGCGAGCGGCAGATGTGTTCACCAAAAACGTAAAAATTTTCTTGAAAAAAAAATTGCAATCCATGCTTAAAAAATGCTTTCACTCCTGCGAAATTATCATCATATCACATAATAACACAATCTTGCACGAATTGCCAATTTCCCAGTTATGATTTCTGAGAGAAATTTCCTTTCCTATTATACGTCCAGAGGAGTCTTTTCTGAGTTCTTGGAACCTCTTAGAATCGTCTTGATTTGCATTTTCTCGTGGGCACCTGTTCTCTTGCCTAAACCAGAGGCAATCTGCATTCAAAAGTGTGAAAAGGTGACCTTGTCAAGTACCTAAGATCTCAAATGGCACAATGACAACTGATGACAAAAAGGAAAAATGACCATATGCATGCAACATGAGAAAAAAAGATCGATGGTGGGATCGTGCACGAAACACGAAAGACTCCATGATTGCTACATAACCTTTCTGCAGTACATACATACATGCATTTCTCATTGGCTACTGGTTAGGTGAAAAGACACAAAATGCAAAATGGGTTATCCGAGACATCGGTATTGGGGGGTTGGGGTTTGGGTAGATAAGTCCCTCGCAGGACTCCAAAAGTTGCCTGCTTTTGGAGTTCTTGTGGGGATTAGATTTATTTGCGTAAATTCTTACTTCTGTAAGAAAATGTCAGAAAGAGACAGTCTAAGGCTTAATACATTCATCAGTTGTTGGAGTAATCTAATCAATGTAAAGGCATGCAAAAGTGGTACTATAAGCATAAGCCAAGAACTGTAACAATCACAAAGTTCAAGCTGAATATGAGTAAACCTTATACACACTGACAGTGTATATATTATCACCGTTAGATTTATGATATGTGTGCAAAAGTTGAATTTTAAAATTAAATTTTGTATAATTGTCATTTATCCAGCGCTGATTGTGTATACACTGTCCTTGTTTGGAAGCCAAGTTTTTTGCCAAGTTTGTCTGCTACAAGTTTTTAAAAAACTTTAGTTACAGTAACCTTAAAAAACTTTTCAAAATTTTTAAACTATACACTTCAAAATATTAAAAAAAAAAAACACACTTCAAAAATTTTTTAAAAAACTTTTACAGTAAGTTACAGTAAAGTTTTAGACAAACACTCAAAAAACTCACCTTCCAAACGGGGCGATTAATAATTCATGCTAATATACTATCTAATCTTTGTGCCATTTCAGAAAAGAAAAGCAAAAAAAGGAAAAACTATCTAATCTTTGTATCCTTTCACAAAGGCCCACAACAAATTTGCCATGTTTGTCTGTCTCCATGGACTGAGACTCTTCCCACAAGGAATGTGGGTCTAAATAGGGGAACTCCTTAATTTCGACGACTTTTTAGTGGGAGTGACTCCAAAAAAATCAGGCCCGGAGACAATTAATTGTTAGAAATTCAAAATGTTAGATAAGTCCAAGAAGAGACAGGCAAAGTCAGAATTTTAAAACCAAAAGCATAAAATCACTTCTACCCTTTTCCTTAAGGTACAAAAACATTCTTTTCTTTTATTTTTTCTTGGTTGATATGGATTGGAAGAAAGAAAAACCATTTCACATCACATTCTTGTGAGTTCAGTTCGCCTATCATCTACCTCCTTCATTAGTTCCTTTTTTTCTCGAGTATCCCTTGGCTTAGTAGTGTATGTGGATAGGCACCTTTTATGATCTTGACACTGATCACCAAATTGCCAAAAAGCAGATGAGGGAGGCACACATGGGCAAGGAATGAGGACCATTACACAATTCTCCTATCAGGGGGGTCGAGAATACTCTTGCATTTGACACTGAATAAGAAGAGAAAGTTCTGTCATTTCCTGCTTTAAATTTGTGGATTGATTGAATGAGCTACTCCTGGAAGAAATTTCATCTGGAAAGTTGGGAGCAGTAGCTTTAAAAAAAAAAAAGTGCCAAACAACAACATGAACTTGATCACGTCCCCATTCAATTGGACTTGTTCTCCCAATGCCTAAGCTTTTTTGACATCAGGAGACAACAGCACATGCAGAGTCGGATAGAATGATACTAAAAGACATCCCAATTCCCAACCTTAAAGCGGCAGATCCTGTGGCCTTTAAAGATGAGAGAGTGACCTGACCTCTGATATATTGAATCATTAATGCTGATTAATATCCACCCTGAAATTGAAGAAGAAATAAATGTGCTCCAAGTCAACAAGATAAGGCCTGCTACTTACCAAGCAGAGGGGTCATTTCCAAGGTAAGTGAGCTTTACATTTTTAGTACATTTGCCCGTATTCTTTGAAATTTAGCCCCTTGATTTGTTAAGCTTCTTTTTTTTTTTGTCTGAAGAAAATAGCAAGATTGAGGCCTGAAACAACCAAGTTAATCTGCCTTTTCATGCTAGGTAATCTAGCTAATCCTCAGAGAAAATCAAAAGCTTAATCCAATCTGTTAGGGAAGGATCAAATACTGGGCATTTAACCCTCAGTGGAACAGAAACCATACATCTCAGGACATAATGGCCTTTTCTTTTGTCCTCCTAACGAGAATAGAACCTACAATAACAGATAACCAGTGTATGTAAAGATCCTCTAAATCACAGCAGTTAGCAGCCAACATCCAATCACAGGTAATAAGGAACCATGTACCCCTGATTTAGGCAACTTGATCTAACATGTCAAGTAGGCAAGAAGTCTCTGGTTATTTATTTTTCTCATGAGGGAGATAGGAAATACTAACACAAGGATAGTGTTACTAACATCCGTAAGTACCAAAAACCAAATCTGCATAAACAAGCTAAGTGACAGCAAAGTGACCAAAATCTTAAACTATATAGAGAAAAATGCACGCTGAAATCTAGCTATATGTATTTATATACACGCTGAATTTAGTTTCCAAATTATTCAAAAAATGCTTCAACCAAACCAATAAAACACAGTGATCCTGGAGAAAGCAGCAACACAGAATGGAAGAAACAAATCCCAAGACACACAAATCACTTCCATCTCTTGAACCCCATGAACTTGTGCTAGTGCTTTCCAAAGAAGCCGTGCTTGTGCCTTCCATAGAATCCATGCTTTCCAAATTTCCCATGCTTAAACTTCCCATGATGATGATGATGATGACCATAATACCCACCATGACCAACATGGTGTGCACCATGTGCCAGATGGTGAGCCCCATATGCAGCAGCCGCTGCTGCAGCACCACCAGCTAGTAATGCACCCATTGGAGGTCCATGCCCTGCATAAAGTGGACGTTTCCAGCCAGATGAAATCAATGAAATGACTCAAGAAAGTTGCACTCTTTGGAGTGTCACTTGGTAAAGCAAGGTTAAAAATTGATAGCATACTAGACAGCAACAATAATTTGCAAATCAGAAAATAGGGAAAGGGCCACAACAGCTAGCCCATACACGAGGAATAATAATTGATGATCACAAGTAGACTATCAAATCTCTTTCAGATCGGGTCCTCAGTGTTATCCAACTTCCATCTTTAGTGAAACATAGAATCCCTCCGGCAGGATCAAAGTCCAATAATCAGATAAAGGGAAAACAGAAAAAGAACAAGAGAAAGGAACCCCTAGTGAAGCAACAAACAATCAGAATGATATTTCCACCAAAAGATGTCTCACCGGCCACAATAAGTAAGGTTGCTACAATACTACTACACTGGTACCAAGTATCAATAATGGCAAGAAAAATGTCAACTTCCTCATCAAGAACTGAGTAGGTCGTGGCGGACACATGATTCAGGATTTGGAAGTGAGCCTCACGAGACGTGAAAGTTAACAGCCATGTGCGTAGAGAAACCAAGAGGAAATAACTTCTTAAAATGTTACCAAGTTGACACAAATATACATCATTCTCAATTTGTGGAGTAAATGGATATTTATGTCTCGAAAGTTCATTTAATTATGCTAACCATAGTATTTCATACTATGGCAGGTACGAAGGAATACATAGCAACAGGGTAACCAATTAAGAATATTATTAGATAGATAAGCAAGGCATTTCAAAGTGGCTAATAAAAACAATTAGGAAAGCAGGACAGGCAGAAAAAGGCATACAAACATGCAACTGCATCATGTCAACACTAGATAGAGAATGACATCCACTAACAATAATGCTGAGAACACACAAAATATTTACCCGAGTGATGGTGACCTGAGGGACCAGGATAACCAGCAGGCGGATATCCACCATGTGGCGGATATCCTGGTGGCAGTGCCGGTGGGTATCCAGCTGCAGAAGGATACCCAGAAGGAGGATATCCACCAGGCGGAGGATACCCAGATGGTGGATATCCGCCAGGAGGAGGATAACTTGCAGGAGGATATGCACCAGGAGGAGGAGGATAAGGGTATGCCCCATGTGGCCGTGGATAGTGTCCAGCAGCATATCCAGCAAGATGTGAAAATAACCCTTTGTCCCGATTATCATCATTGTCTCCCATTGTTATTAACCTTGGATTGTTAAGCACACTCACAGACTAACTGCAAAAGACAGGGCACTCAGATCAGCTTATACAATGGAATATTTTGCTTCAAGAAAAATAATTCGCAATATAATTCTCTAAGAATTTTCCTCACACATTTGATCCTAATAATTCAGGGAAGATCCTTTATTGACAGGAAATTACACATATGCACCATGAAAAGTTCAGGCAAAAATGAAGATATAAGAATTTGAAATCCTTGTATGAACAGAGGATGCATCCTGTGCTTCAGAGGCTCATTGATTAGCAACAATTGAGATTGTAATATTAATCTACACAATAATTGATTAGGACAATCAAGATTGTAATATTAATCTACACAATAAAAACCTAAATTCACATGATATCTAGAAATCTAACTCCAACTTATGAGTAATTCTAGTTGATATCATCAAGTACAGCCCTTGAAGAATATTGGGAATACAGTCTTTCACATAATAAAACAATATCCAAATTAATGACTTTGTCCGATAAAGAGCATTACCAGAAAATATAGATAGCCTGTCAGATATGAACGATTAGAGAAACTGCCAACCTTACTTTCCAATAAACAACTTCAAAACCCCCCTTCTTTCCTTCCCCCAAGAATCACTTCTTTCCTGATCGCCATGCAAGTTACAACTTCAAAAACTCAAGAATCACTCTGAAAGGACTTGATTCTCATAAAATACACGTCCAAAACAAGAAAGCCAATTCCTTACACTCTTCCCCCCACCAAACCCATACACACAAAAACTCGCAAGGATACAAAAATCAAAACCTCACAGAAGAAAGCAAAACTCAATTGGGATAACCATTCAGCTTCTGCTGAAACACAAATTAACCACCACGGCAATTATAATAAACATGTACCAAGCAATCAGCTTTATTACCAAATAAGTAAAAATCCAACAAATAGAGAAGAACAGGACTGTGCAAGACTAGGTGATTAATTACTAGCACGCATGCAAACATGTACAAAGATAACATAATCCTCCTTCCAAAGAAACACAGCCATCTTGGACATGCAATCCCAGAAAAGAAAGCCCAAATAAATAAGTAAAACACAAGAAGCAATAAATTAAGAAACCCGTTTCCAATTAGCCCAAGCCACCTCACAGAACGCTAGTATAATCACAAACAGCTTGAATTCAATCAATATTTTTCATGTATAGCAGGAATATATGCATGTAGGATGTGAAAAAAGAGGAGAGAGAGAGGAGATATTACCTGATTCGGCAACTTGGTAGGAAATGGATTGATTGAAATTTGAGAGAAAAAAAGTAGTAGAAGTAGCTTTACCAAATATTTATTGTTGCCATAAAAGAATTGGTTATGCTTTGGGCCATGGCTGTTTGCACACGCGATGTTTATCTTGTTTGTTTTCGAACGCGGTTGCTTCAATGCCGGTTTATCATACGTGGTTACACGAGGAAGAGAGGAAGGCGGGACAAAGGAGTGTGACAGCTCCGTTTGGGTTTGCTGTTATTTTAAAAATAAAATTTTTAAATATAATATTATAGTAATACATAATTAACTCAAAAAATATTTTATCTATATAATATATTAAATATTTCAAATTTTTTTTTTATTAATATACACTGTTACAGTAAAATTTTTCAAAAACACTTCCAAAAACAGCTAATCCAAAACGGAGCCAGTTCTCACGTTTTTCAATTTGCATATAAGAATTCTTGTAATGAGTGTTTATATCTAAATTATACCAAACTTATTACATGTAAATGCACATACTTATATTTATTGTTCCTATATATTTTCGAATTAGTTTCTGCGTCAAAAATTAACATTGGAAACTATCTTATTAACTAAACTCATTATTTTAAGATATTCCCAAATCAGGTATTGATGGAGGTTTCTTTGTTCTTTTTTTTTTGAAAGGATGGGAGAGCATTGAATGTATTACTTTTAGTTCTACGTTAAACCTTGGATAAATTAGTCGAACGTGCATTTGTACACCTAAAAATAATTCTCGAATTGTCAATTCATTGTGTAATTGGATAGTAGATTATTTGGGATAATGATGTGATATATATGAGATAAAAAAATGATTAAAAATGTATCGACAACACAAACAAATAAAATTTGAGAAATAATCTCTATGCAAACAAAGTTATCGATGATTTGAGGCGGGTGAGTGAATGAAGAGTTAGCGCAACAATTTCGCTTCTCGTTTCTGCGAGTAAAAGAGAATACGTGTCGTGAACGACTGTTACAATGAAACAAGCACGACTGACTGCTCGAGAGCATGATGAACAATCATAACAAATGATGCAAGGGACTTTTCAAGTTTACTGATTGCTCTGCATCAATCACGACTTGACTCGTCAATTAGTTTAACAACTATCGGATTATTTCATGTTTCTCCTATTTGGACGTTTAAAAATCAAATTTGATATAGTAATAATCATCGAACTCAATCCAATACGTAATTCGCTTGAACTTCAAGAGAAAACTTTGACCATTACAGTGAGTGACGAAGAAACTTTCCCAGAACAATAAGGACATCTGTGCAGGCTTTATATATACTTGAAATTTGGCAAATTTCTGCATCTTTTGATATGATGTTCATACATCAAGCTAATTGTATATTCCAAAATGCAGACATGCCAAGTGAGAATGCGATTGCCATCAGAAATTTCGAGCAGAGCCGAGTGACGTTTCTGTCGAAAATTTTTTGGTGGAGTTGGTTTTCCTAACCCAGGACAAACCATAAATGTCCAAGAATATCCTCATATGAAAGTATATATATATATATATATATATATATATATATATATATATATATATATATATACGTGATGACACAGCATATATGCACTGCCCATGACTATTACTCTTCAATCAGCCTTAGCTTTTAAGTATTTTTCTGTATTGACTCATTGAAAGGAGGAGCACTCAATAAAAGTGAAGACGACTCCCAATTCCACCATCTTCATCTGCTGGGAATCCATGAAAATGGCTATTATGGATTATTACAGCGCATTGCGTTTGCAATTTCGTTGCATTAAACACCAGCATGACAAGAAAGAAGGTCTTGCAAAGGCAACTTAACCGAAGGTTGAGATTGCTCGTTTAAATTGCTAACTTTTTGTAGAAAAATATACTGTATCGATTATGTCCTCAACTTCTCTTACTCCATGATATCCCCTTGTACTCTTTTCTCCCTTTTAGATTAGACAAGTGTCTTAGCAGCCATTGACATGACATACATATTCTTCTATTCAACAGGACAGTTACCATCCCAATGCAAGAAATTGTATCCATACATTGCTTTTCTGAAGTATACTTCAATCTCCAAAACTTTCCAGATTTCTAGTGGGGATTTAACTGAATGAAATAGACCATATAGGCGGTCAAAGAAAGCATTCAAAAAAAAAAAACCCTTTACATCGAACTTCATCTTTTTCACGTTTGTTACTACTAGATTCAATCCGTATACGCACTAGAACTCACAAATGGAATATGACAAGGCCAAGCACCTTAACCTTAATTTGGTGATAAGGAAATTTTATAGGAATTTAACCAACGTTTTGTTGGATTGTTACATGAGAACATGTTGAGGCAACAAATGATTATAGCATGAGCCATGAAATAGATAAACAGGCATCAATTCTAGTGGCCATAGGAGTAAGAGAAAAGATTTGCACATTCGCTCTGCCCACTTAAATTTCCAATCCAGCAAATAAGTTTCAATACTTCAATTTTCAATGTAATGTAGTTGTTGGATTTCTTTGTCTTGTGGTAAAGGAATTTGCAGAATACATGTAATGTACAACCTTGCTATTATGTAATAATTTACTCTAGGTTAGCTTACTAAATGTACTACTGCCTGTCTGACTAATTTTAAAAGGTCTATCTAACTAGCGTCCAGTGAGCAATCATTAAGATGCAAACAAAATGTTACCTTTTTGAAAAAAAAAAAAGTTAATTAGAAAAAAAATATACAAATATAAAAGAGAATAATAATTATTAGTATGTGCATTCACGTAGTAAATTAGGTATACGTGAGTTAGGTATGATTTAAGTGTGTTAACGAGTGCGAATTTAACGCCTATTAGAAAAATCCAATTTGAAATAAAGGGTGGTACATAGAAGGGCAAATTATAAATAATCTCCTTCTGAAACAGCTTCATTTTCAGTTAGGGGAAATAAGGCCAGATTATTGATCATTATTTGTTTTGCTCTTTTTAAGTCACTATACTTTCTATTATTCAATCTTTTGATTTATGTAAACTCTTCTAATGCCAGTAAGAACAATAAAAGTATAAATAAGTAGAAATGTTACCTCTTCTTTTCGTTTTTCAAGTATTTATGGTGGCCTAATTGATTCCTTGCAAGGAGTTGAGACTTGAAAGGTATTAAAACTCGAAAACCTTCTGCTTCCAAAGCCAGTGAATCTGCGTGTAGACGGAACAGCTCCCCTTCATACTCTCGAGAGTGGCTACCAGGGATCCAGCAACCACTGCAGCACTAAAGCGAGCTTCTTTCCTTCTCAAGGATGCAATGGCTAACCAACGCAGAGGAGCTGATGAATATACTTAGGCCACATTCTCTTGCAATGGGGTCCAATGCCTCACGTTCAATTTCAAGCAGCTGATCTGTGTCCACTGAAAGTACTCCGAAGGGGTACAGCAAAACAGACCGGAGAGTCTGTTCAGGATTAAATAGAAGCAGCAGGTACCAGGCCAGGATTCTCAGAGAAGCCCTGATACCAAAATTCGGGCTTAAAAAATTACCAACTGTGATTCCTGATCTGTGGCACTTGGCATAGAAAGTTGGACGCATTTTTTATACATCCTCCTGTATATTCTAGCACCTTCAAATTCTGCATGGATCTCTCTCTCTGTTCTTATACCCATTGGATTACTTATCAACCATCCCTCAGTGTCACATGACAAATTGGGGTCGATCTTGTCAACATGTATAAGCTTATTCGACTTTGCATCAAATTGATCTCTCATGTCTATTGCCAATTCTAGCACATCCGATTGAATAAAAACCTGCCCAAAAACAATGGTGCAGTATTAGTCCTATGAAATGTATACTTATTATAATCTCATATGCTAATGTATCATGAGCTAAGATGTGATAACACAACTTCAAAAAGTGAAGAAAAGCCAGAACATCCTTGAATGACATGTCTACTTATTATGGAAAGATCGCATCCTTCAAGCAAGAAAACATCTCTCTCATTTCTTCTCCACGGAATAACAACAGCTTTCCTTTCTCATCTGCATTTTTCATGAGAATGACCTTCATTCCTTAGACCTCCTTTTACGTGGAATGAAGTGAAGTCGATTAGAAAGTCAGAAATAAGGCCTATGAGAAGAAGAATATTTGGCAACCATTAATTGATTTTATACAAATGCAAGCACATGCATGCCCTTTATATTTGGTTGCGTGGGCTTTTAAGAAATTCCCAATTTATTATCACATCAATGCCCAATTCAAATGTTCACAGCTAAAGGCCAGAATGTCCATTGCGAGCAGATATCAACTTGCAATTTTACTCTCTACCTGTGAACTGAAACTTTTGTTTTAGAGCTGCAAAATATGGTCCTACACCAACAGCGTATGTGAGAAGTAAAGTGTGTGTAGAGGAATTCAAGTCATGAGCTCTATGGCCCCGAAATACTGTTACAACTATCTCGTATAAAATGACTGCACAGGACAAAATATTATTAACAATAAATCACAGAAAAAAAAGGGCAAATTATACTTTATCCCCTTGTGATATAGCTAATTAGAACATAACCCCCCGTATAATTTTGAAAGTTATATATAACCCCCTCATAGTTTGGATTAATGTGTCAAAGTGACGGAAATAATCATTCGTAACGGAACCTATGAAAATGTCGAAATTACCCTTGTTTGAAAACTACAATGGCTGAAGTGACCATAATATATAAACATACTATGCATTGACACTCTAACCCCACATGATTTTATATTTTACCATATAATCCCCTTATGGTTTAGCACTTTACTATATAATCTCTTTATGATTTTTATGGTTTTCAATATATATACATAAGCCCCCTGTGATTAATAATTAATTTTCAACTTTACATAGGGGTATTTTTGACATTTTAGTTGACTCCATTATGGATTGCAAAT